GAAAATCCCTCCATACACGTGTATGGAGGGGGTGCAAAGTGTATGCCAGCTAGCACAGCTGGCATAAAAATATCTGCAAAAGCAGATGCACAGTGATCGGTCAGCCAAAAATGTAATTTGACCAAAATAGATGGCCGACCGACCATCCAGAGTGCCGACTGACCAAATATTTGGCCGATGGCAACAAAACCCAGCCGGTGGCCTCAAGCCATGGCCGGTGATGTGTGGGAATGGCCAACAAGCCATTCCCTGCCCCTCAAAGGCAAAACACGAATGTTTGGTGCAAAACCAAACACAAAACAGTCGAGTCGAGAGATCCCGAGGCAAGGCGCGTGGCCGAGAACTCCGGGAACTCAAGACGAACACAATCATGGATGATCACCGAGTGTTCAAACGGTGACGTCCAACTCTTGAGGATGGTCAAAAATGGGGTGTCTGCAGCAGACTAATCAACAGTTTATGGCACGTGACCTACATGAACATATAACAAACGCATACTTGAAACACACGTTCAAAACGCACACAACTTACTTTATTTGTTCTTAGTGTGTTTCTAGCCTTTAATCTCATTATGGAGTCTTAATCATGACCTAGGAATGCCTAGGATGGAAAGAAGACACAAAATGCACTTGGAAACTTTTCTCAAATTTTGCTGAAAATAGGGTCTATGCTTGAGCGTGGCTTTCCCTGCTCGAGCGGACATGCAGGATGTGAAAGCTCGCTCGAGCGTGTATTCCCTCGCTCGAGCGGACTGCAAATTTTAACAAAAGTACTGGATGCATGAATTTCACGCTTGACGGACGCTCAACCTCCACTCGAGCGTGAAGTTCCTCGCTCGAGCGGACTGTAAAACATCTGAACTTCTAGGTATATGCATTTCACGATCGAGCGTGACTCTTGTCGCTCGAGCGGAAGTGCACGTACTCAGAGTGCTCGCTCGAGCGTGAAATTCCCCGCTCGAGCGTGGATCAAATTTCTGGAATTTCTAGATTTGATCTTCAAGTTCAAACTCAAGCATTAAAGCATCAAACTTCATTTTTTGGGCCAAAACTTAAGGAAACACTTAGATACTTATAAAACAACATGTTTAAAGGATCATTTCAAGGAATCCTGGCCCAATGACATGCCAATTGTACAAAATTCAACTTAAATTCAAGAATAATCCAAGAACATGACATGTATGAAATTCTTTGAACCAAAACTTCTCAAAACATGATCAAATGCCATAAAACAATTTGAAACTTGATGTTCTCCTTAAATTGAAGTGAATTTTAAACATGCATGGAAGAATTTCCTAGCAACATGTTCTCAATGCATTGAAATATACATGCATACATGAATTCATCCTTAATTCCATTCTTTAGCCCAATTCTCATGCTAATTCACCTATCACAATTGATTTCATGCATCAATCAACTAATTACAAAGCTAGAGACTAACATTCTTACGTAAGGTTCTCAACTCCTTATGGTCAAAGACATTCTTGAGTAATTCTTCAAGGTCTGCTAGCAATTTCTTCTACCTTCAAGCTTGATCTCAATTTCCACCCCTCTCTCTTTCTCTCTCTCCCACGTTTGTGTGTGTGTGGAGGCTCAAAATGTGATGACTATTCAAGAAAAATGGTGAGTGGAGCTTGTAAGGAGCTTATAAGAGCTCACTTGGTAGCTATTAATTAAAACAAACTAAATGTGCATTAAATTAATCTAATTCAATCGTTCTAAATCGAATTCCAATTAAATTTACCATAAAATTTTATAAATCCCACATAACACACATATCAAATCAATTTCTGAGTCAGATGTCGTTAAGGCCTTCAATTTCACAAACCAAAACTAAAACATGAACAGATCTTTCTACAGCAAACAGATATAACACAATAACGAAAAGCACACTTGCAAATTAATTCAGAATTCCTCTTTAATTATTGATTAAGCATAATTAAGCATGGATTTACATTAATCAGGGATCGGGGTTGTTACAATTTCTCTCTCTCTCTCTCTCTCCACTCTCATTCATTTCTCTCTGTCTCTCTTTGTTCTCTCTTCTTTCTCTTTCCGTGTTTTTTTCTTTTTCTTTTTTTATTTTTCTTGTCAAAATAGTGTGATTTCATTCTCATACAGTTAATGTTCATCATGACAATGAAATTTCATTGAGTTATGAATTACATAAATAAACTTAATGAATTTTAATAGCATTAATTGAAATATTAAAACGTTTTGGTGACGAAAATATATTCATCACAAATAATTTTATAATTAGTGACAAATTTTTTTGTCACCAAAAGTCCCAAAATTTTGGCGCCACCCAAAAAAAATAACGGGAAAATTTTAAGTGACGAAACTTAAGTTTTCCTCACTTAAAATGAAGTATTTATTGACGAAAATATATTTTGTCACTTATCATTTTTATTTTTTTATTATATGTGACAAAATTTATAAATTCCTCACGAATTATTTTCATTTAGTGACGAATTTTATTTTCTTCACTAGTTTTCGTCACCATAGGTTACTTTTGTTGTAGTGCTACTCGAACGGACATGCAGGATATGAAAGCTCGCTCGAGCGTGTATTCCCTCGCTCGAGCGGACTGCAAATTTTAACAAAAGTACTGGATGCATGAATTTCACGCTCGACGGACGCTCAACCTCCGCTCGAGCGTGAAGTTCCTCGCTCGAGCGGACTGTAAAACATCTGAACTTCTAGGTATATGTATTTCACGATCTAGCGTGACTCTTTTCGCTCGAATGGAAGTGCACGTACTCAGAGTGCTTGCTTGAGCGTGAATTCCCCCGCTCGAGCGTGGATCAAATTTCTGGAATTTCTAGATTTGATCTTTAAGTTCAAACTCAAGCATTAAAGCATCAAACTTCATTTTTTTGGGCCAAAACTTAAGGAAACACTTAGATACTTATAAAACAACATGTTTAAAGGATCATTTCAAAGAATCATGGCCCAATGACATGCCAATTGTACAAAATTCAACTTAAATTCAAGAATAATCCAAGAACATGACATGTATGAAATTCTTTGAACCAAAACTTCTCAAAACATGATCAAATGCCATAAAACAATTTGAAACTTGATGTTCTCCTTAAATTGAAGTGAATTTTAAACATGCATGGAAGAATTTCCTAGCAACATGTTCTCAATGCATTGAAATGTATATGCATGCATGAATTCATCCTTAATTCCATCATTTTGCCCAATTCTCATGCTAATTCACCTATCACAATTGATTTCATGCATCAATCAACTAATTACAAAGCTAGAGACTAACATTTATACGTAAGGTTCTCAACTCCTTATGGTCAAAGACATTCTTGAGTAATTCTTCAAGGTCTCCTAGCAATTTCTTCTACCTTCAAGCTTGATCTCAATTTCCACCTCTCTCTCTCTCTCTCTCTCCCTCCCACGTTTGTGTGTGTGTGGAGGCTCAAAATGTGATGACTATTCAAGAAAAAGGGTGAGTGGAGCATGTACGGAGCTTATAAGAGCTCACTTGGTAGCTATTAATTAAAACAAACTAAATGTGCATTAAATTAATCTAATTCAATCGTTCTAAATCGAATTCCAATTAAATTTACCATAAAATTTTATAAATCCCACATAACACACATATCAAATCAATTTCTGAGTCAGATGTCGTTAAGGCCTTCAATTTCACAAACCAAAACTAAAACATGAACAGATCTTTCTACAGCAAACAGATATAACACAATAACGAAAAGCACACTTGCAAATTAATTCAGAATTCCTCTTTAATTATTGATTAAGCATAATTAAGCATGGATTTACATTAATCAGGGATCGGGGTTGTTACAATTTCTCTCTCTCTCTCTCTCTCTCTCTCTCTCTCTCTTTTCACTCTCATTCATTTTTCTCTGTCTCTCTTTGTTCCCTCTTCTTTCTCTTTCCGTGTTTTTTTCTTTTTCTTTTTTTATTTTTCTTGTCAAAATAGTGTGATTTCATTCTCATACAGTTAATGTTCATCATGACAATGAAATTTCATTGAGTTATGAATTACATAAATAAACTTAATGAATTTTAATAGCATTAATTGGGTAGTTCAAAACACATAAATTTCATTAAGTTATGAATTACAGAAATAAACTTAATGAATTTTAATTGAATTAATTGGGTAATTCAAAACACAGAAATTTCACTGAAACAACTCAATGAAATTTCACACAGAAGTAGAAAATTTTCATTGAGTTAGTGTTAAATTGCATTGTGTTTGGCATAGTATATGTCAAAAAAAATTCTTTGTGTTGAAATAATTTATTTTTTTTTTGTAAAAATCAAAAAATTACTAAAAAATCATATTCTCAAATGAGTGCTGAGAGTGCAATTTTTGAAATTTCATTCACTGTCCAATGTCGAGTGGTACAAATTGTGAAATTTTACTTCTCCAAAAAAGTTGTTGCAAAATCATGTCGGAGAGTTACTGAAGAAAAAAATAGAAGAAATATATGACATACATGAAAAATTGTACAAATTGTGAAATTTTACTTCGCCAAAAAAGTTGTGAAAGGACATGTCAGAGAGTTATCGGAAAAAAGAAAAAAAAAATTGTAAGACATTTATTAAAATTTCCACCACAAAGCAAAAAAAACATCAACCAAAATAGAAATATACAAAAACAAAAATACAATTGATAGAAATAAAATTGAAGTCATTGTTCTTAGAAAAATGTTTCATCTGCATAATTTCCCATCCCCTAACTCCGGAATGACATGATAAGTAAAATTTTAAAGTTGACTCAAGCTTCAATTAGTATAGAAAGTGATAAATTTTCAAAAATAATTTTAGAAAATTATTTTGGATAGAGAGTTTTAAAAAAAGTGATTGATTTAATAAGAGAGAGACTGATTTTGAAAAGTAAGTAACCAAACAAAATTTTAAGATTTTTTTTTAAAAAATTTGTTTACTTTGATTACTCTTAAAAATTTGTTTGTAAAAAATTTTTCTTAAATTTTTTTTTGAAAAACAAACCAAGGCCTATATTATGTCTTGCCACCTCTTCGGAGGAGGCTTAAATGGAGAGCAGATTATATGGATGTAACACTGCCATATTATTTGTTAGGAGTAGTTGATTTGGACCTTTTCACAATTAGAACGGGACACTTCGCATTATGTACACAATGATTGCTCACACTTCCTAAGAAAATCCTGCCATTTAAATTAACCACCCCAAAAAAAAAAAAAGGGTCCAAAAAAAAAAAAAAAAAAAAACAAAGGGTTAGTCAATTACTTTATTCAAAATAAATAGTAACGCTATTGATACCAAACTGGCTTTTAGATTAGGAGAATTTCATTAAATCAATGCATTTATTACGTTTATTTTGTAAGCTCATGCGTGTCAATCATTTAATAAATTGAAAAAAAATAAATTATAAATACATCTATTAAAATTTATTTAAAATATAAATGGTTCTTTGTTAAGATTTTTCTTTCCTGCTTTTAACTCTGTTAAATGACAAACTTTGATAAGAGAGTTTTTATAATTCTTAAAATTATATGAGACAATTTGCATTTTAAGCAAAAGCTAAAAGGATTCTATTTGTAATTTACTAAGAAAATATTAATTTAATAATTATAATTACATAGTTTTATCAATAAATAATTTAAAATTGATCACACAAATCTTAAATTTCATTACTAAATACAAAATATCAATATGTAGATTAGGTGAATTTTTTTTTTTTTTTTTGTGATTTTTTTCCCCAGGAATATGTTACTTAAGGGTAGACTAACAAGTTACAAAAATTATTAAAATATTAAAAAAATACTAAAAATATAAAAAGCTCAAAAAAAATATTTAAATGTCAAAATCAAACACAACGAACATTGTTTTGGATGCAAAACAATCCAATTTTGTAAAATGTGATTGGTTCAAATAAAAAAGTATAAATTATAAATACATTTTTTGAAGTATATATGTTTAAATATTACAAATATCCTTGTTAGAATTTTTTATTTAATAAAATTAACTGAAAAAAATAAAAATCATAACTATTCTCTTATACAATAATAAAATTACTTGAATTATTAATTAAAATAAATTTCTGACATTATTAAAAAATATTAATTGATTTGATGATTTCTTAATAAAATGAGTCATTTTCAGAATTATAGAAAGCAAATTATATTTTAACCAATCCCCAAACCTCAAAGACTACATTTGTAATTTTCCCAAAAGAAAAAAAGGTTGAAAAACAAGAGTGTACTCACCTTCCTAACACCACCATATCGACACCCAATTTCTCCGTTGCCTGACAAATTACGTCCCTTGGATCTCCACTCTCCACCCTCGTCTCCACCTTAACCTACAATGCAAGCGCACACACAATCCACAAAAACACTTTTTTAACATGACTATTGTACCCTTCACAACACACCAAAAATACAAAAACAAACAAGAAAGAAAAAGTACACACATCAAAATCATGAACCTCCTTGCAAAGCCTCTTCGCTTTCTCCATCACAGACTCGGCCAGCTCGTTGTTGTACTTGTCTAGGGCCACCATTATATCAAGGGAGAACATGTACCCTAAAAATAATCAGATAAATTATGGACTAAGCCTATGGACTTAATTGTAAGTCTCTTACACTTTTTTAATGCATTAATAAATTCTAAAATACTTATTTTATTCCAATACATCAGAGGGATATTGGCATGTAAAAAAAGAAACATGACTCATAAATAAATAAGTCTAGTAAGTATTCCACAATAATCACAATTTACCAAAACAATCACAATTTACCAAAACACATTCAAATAGTTGCCACCTCAAGGAGAGAAATATTAAAATAAAATAACAAATTAGGGGTACTTGTGGATCGATTTTTGACGGTTCGGTTCGGTTTGTGGTTTGGATCCGCCGCATGTCTGTAATTTGAGAAAAATTGAACCCGCAACAGTCTGCAATGCGATTTGTGCGGATAGGGTTCACGGATGTGTGGACAGTTACAAGTAGTTTGCAAATTGAGCTGTTTCCTTTAAAAAAATTATTTTTCAGCTTGGTTTTTCCTAGTTTTTTAATATTTTTTGATTGTGAGAGATTCAACACTATCCTCCATTAAAACTGGAATACAAAAAATTAGAATAAAAATTAAATAAAAACTAACATAGGAAAAAAAAAATTCACATAACTAGATTTGTAAAAAATTGAAAAAATTCCTATTGAATAATAAGTATTTTAAATAAGGCAATGTGTGATGTTATTATAATGTTATAATGTTAGAGCCTACGGGTTTGATAATCAGATTAAAATGAGTAAGAGAAGAGAAGATTATGATTATGTACTTACAAAACTTACAAGAAAATCCAATGATCCAGATTTAAAAAAATAAATAAATAAAATTGTATATAGATGCCAGTGGTGAAATCGGTTCGATCCGGCCAATTTTTTTTCAATTTTCAGACCGAACTAGTTCATTTGGTTCTATACTTATGATAACCAAGTAGACCGAAATATGTATATAAACCGCACCAAACTGGTTCATGCGGTTTGGTGCGGTTTGGCTGGTTGTTACAGTTTTGAGCCTCTTTTGTGCTAGAAAAAAATACATTAGTAATTTGAAAAATAAAAGAAAAATTAAAACAAGTTTGATAAAAGAACCCCAAAATGCTAAATGCGATGTGGATTTGTGATGGACACCTTGTTCTGTAAAAAAAATATACAAAAGGATTGCTGTAAAAAGTTTAAAAGGTTTGAAAAAAGAGTAATGGTAGAGACCCCAAATATTCTACCAAAAGTTTTACCAAATGTCTCACATGGGTGTGGGACCCATACAACCCATGTGAGACATTTGGTAAAACTTTTGGTAGAATTTTTGGTTTAAATGCAATGTAGTTATTTGTGATGGATGATATCCATCCAATTCAAGAACAAAACAAAACAAAAAAACAAAAAACAAAAGACATACAACAATAAATATTATTTCAATCCAACGTTTCAAAATTCAGCAAAATCAAAAGGTTTTCAAAAAGGTTTAAAAGATTAGGGTTTTCAAAAGGTTCAAAAGATTAGGGTGCTCAAAATCAAAAATAAGGTTTTCAAAATAAAAAACAAAGACTTCAAATTTACCTTAGTTTGGAGTCAAAATTTCTACAGCAACAAGAAGATCATTGTAATTAGATTAAAGATGAAGTAGTGCAATAGACCGCTCGCGTCCATGCTTCAGATTTAACAATGAAGAGTGTGACAGATCGTCATGGATGAGAGTAGTGATGAATGAGAAACCCTGAGGCTATGAGAAACCCTGAGGCTGTGAGAAGTTGAAGACAAAGAGAGAAGAGAGAAAGAGAGAGAGAGAGAGAGAGAGAGACTGTTTGTTTACCCACTACTACTGTAGACACTTAAATTTTCACGTGTCTTGACCACCATCTAATTAATCAAAGCAAATAAATTTTCTAGATTAACCAAAAATAAGATGGTCAAATTTTTTCAAATGAATGTGGGTCCTACTAAAATTATGGATCTTAATCCATTTCAAATTATGGGTTACACCAAAAGAAAAGTGAAATTATTTTGACAATTAGGTCGACCCAAAAGTGTGAGGCTCATAAAGATATTTTGTCAGAATTTGGTGGAATAACTCAAATTTAAATTCAAATTTCACTACAAATAATTTCTATGATAGGTAAATTGCTTGTTTCTTAGAAATTAGAGTCAATTTTGGAGTTTCCGAAACTAACCCTCCCCTCCTAAGCCTATAAATAAAGACTCTCACTAGGAGGAAAGGACGCACATTTTTTGGCTAATGGTCTTGCAAGCTCCTAAGCAATCTCAAGACTCTGCCAAATTCTCTTCTTAAAATTCTTTCTAAAGTTCCTCAAACTTAAAATAAAGGATTGTCAAGCATTCCAAACTTGGGCCAATCCTTTCAAGTTACAAATACAAATTGGTCTCTCTTTTCAAAAAGGTCATTTTCAAGACTCGTTCGGGATTAAGCCGTTCAAGCCCGAGATCAAGCCTTTCTTCTCCAAGTTTCTCCATTCGAAGACTTGAAGAAATTCATCAAATTGTCTAGTTCAACAACAAGCTTTTACAGCCGTTGAATTACATCCATTTTGGAGATCGAATAAGAGGATCCACTCTTTTGTAATAAAGCAAACTACAAAGGATTGTACCCATTATTTAAAATAAAATAAAATTAATTATTTGTGAATTTATTCCGTGTCTTAATTGTAGGATATGAAATTTGTGTTTTCAAATTTTCGCACACCCGGTGGGACCTCTCTGCCTCTCATTTCTTTCTCCTAAAGCATCTTCCCAAAGCCTTCAAAGAAAGTTCAAATTGCTCCGATCAATAAGAACGCCTGCAAGAATGCTGCTATCACGACCATCAACAACAGCACTTTTACTAGTTCAATCACCTGTAACAAGACCAAGGCTACCATTGCTCTCGCCACTCACAGGGTCATGCTGACCACCAATGCAACAAAGCAAGCACAAGGCAAGTCTCACAAATCTGTTACGGTATCTACATCTGGGGCTAAGCAAAAAGAAGTAAGGAAATGGAAGAAGCCCACTTATGTCTCAAAGGATTTTTTGCTAGAAGGTTTTTCCCCACACCCAACGCCCGTAGCTTCTGATGCAAACTCAAGTACTGGCTCACACTCAAGATCATCTCCTAGTAGTCCTCAACGTTCAATTTCATTGAATCACTCAGTTTTGAGTCGTTCGGTAGCTATGCAAGTCATGACCACTGGTACCACTTCAATGGAAGAATTATTGGCAACCATGGTTTCTGCCATTGACAAGCTCACCAAAACAGTGGAAGAGAAAGATCTTCAGATTGCCACCTTGACGAACAAGTTAAAAACACGAAATGCTGACGAGGCAAGTCAAGACAATTCTCATCCACCTAGCGTTACACCACAAGCCACGTTGGTTGAGAATGTGAACCCTACATCTAAGTCCAAGCAAGTTGTTGGTGAGGAAACTTGCCATACATCTGTTACGAGGCAAGCGATTGACACACGTACTCAACCAACATCTATTGCTTCTTTGTCTATTCAACAACTCCAAGACATGATTAGAAGTACCATCCGAGCACAATATAGTGGCCTCCTGCAAAGCGCTTTCATGTACTCCAAGCCTTACACAAAGAGGATAGACATTCTTAGAATGCCTAGTGGATAACAACCTCCCAAGTTCCATCTGTTTGACGGAAAAAGGTAATCCTAAATAACATGTTTCTCACTTTGTTGAAACTTGTAACAATACCGGGACAGACAGAGATCTACTTGTCAAACAATTTTTTCGGTCACTCAAGGAAATGCCTTTTGATTGGTACACTGATTTGGAGGCTGAGTCAATCGACAGTTGGGAGCAAATGGAACGTGAATTCCTTAATCATTTCTATAGCACCCATCGTATGGTAAGCATAATGGAATTAACCAGTACCAAGCAATGGAAGGACGAGCCTGTGGTCGACTACATTAATCGTTGGCGTGCTCTACGTCTAAATTGCAAAGACCGACTCTCTGAGATCTCAATTATGGAGATGTGCATACAAGACATGCATTGGGGACTCCTTTACATCCTTCAAGGAATAAAACCACGAATATTTGAGGAGTTAGCTACGCGTTCACATGACATGGAAATTAGCATAGCCAACCATGATGGGAAAGACCTTCCCATTCTTGAATAAATGAAAGAAATGGGGCAAGCCTTTCAAAGGTACCACCAAAGAAGCAATGGCGGTAACGACAGCTCTAATCAAGATTTCAACAACAGACAAGAAAAAAGAAGAAAGGAAGGAAACAAGCCCATCTCTGAAACAACTACAAGAAAAGAAGTATCTCTTTCCTAACTCTGATGTACCATGGATGTTAAAAGATTTACTTGAAAAGAAAGTCATTCAACTCCCTGAGTGCAAACGCCCTGAAGAAATAGGTCGTGTGAAGGATTCGAAGTATTGCTATTATCATCAGATAGTTAGTCATCCTATTGAAAAATGCTTTGTGTTAAAGGAATTGCTTGTGGACTTAGCCAGGAAGAACAAAATTCTTTTGGATCTTGAAAAATCAGGAGAATCCAACCATGCGACGGTTATTGTAGGACCTCCAAATTCTCCATCCTCAAAATCCAAGACAGAAATATCACAATCTGCAATCCCAACACTAAAAGTAATTCCCAAAGTCATCCAGTTTGGTTTATTTGAACCTATCATTATTCAAGTTCCAAATCAAGACAAGCATGTTTATGATGGTTTTGAAGAAGTCTTAACTATTGGAGAAGATGAAAGTTGGACTTTCATGACACAAAGGAAGTCATGAAGAAGCAAGTCCAAGACTCAACATTTTTCACTCAAGAAAGTAAAAAATAAAATTAAAAAAAAAAACTCCCATCGACATTCTAAAAAAGAAGTGATAGACAAAAAAAAGAAAGAAAAGAAGATACAACAAGAAGACAAATTTCCTGATGAAAACTCGTATACCCCAATCATCCTGCAAGACTTTTTCCCCATTGGGCATTTTGGAGTTGACTTGGTCGAGGCGGTCTACATGGTTTCAACCATTGAAGCATATTTGAAACAAGTTCACGCCATTAAGGCGACACCAGATAGGGAGGAAATTAATGTCCTGGAAACCTCGAAAGAATACCCCCACGCTTTAGTTTGCGTAAAGCGTCTCAACTCCCTCGATCTGTACAACCTGCACTTGTTCGAGTGTTAGAAGATCCTGAAAAATATGAGTTTGTTGTTAATGAACTAGACTATCCCAAGGTGAACTCCATCAATTTTGTTCCTTGTTACACAACAATCACCTTCACTGATAAAGACCTTCAACTAGGTTCAAAGCCAGAAAATCGCTAATTGTTTGTCTTTGGTTTTATTAGTGAACAAAAAATTAACCATATCCTTATTGATGGAGGCTCAGCAGTAAACATCATGCCAAAGTTCACCACGAAGAAACTTGGAATCCTAGTGGACGAGTTAGCCCGAAGTCGTTTGGTTATTCAAGGTTTCAACCAAGGGGGGTAACATGCGATTGATATGATTCGTTTGAACTTCACCATTGGAGAACTCACAGCTAGTACTTTGTTTCACGTCATCGATGCAAGAACATCTTATAATTTGTTGCTTGGGCGACCTTGGGTCCATGGAAATGGTGTAGTTGCGTCAACTCTCCATCAGTGTTTTAAATTTGACCAAGGTGGAATAAAGACGATGCTAACAGATGACAAGCCATTTATAGAAATTGAGGCTCACTTTGTTAATGCAAAATTTATCTAGATTCTAATGGGATACCTGAAATTATCACAGCTGAAATCCCTTTTGCAAGAAAAGAGAAAATGAATGAAGAAAAGCAAGTTGAGTTGGACTTCTTAAGGGAAGACGCATCAAGTGGCAAAAAAACACCTGAGGTCGCGTCACCACAAAAATAGTCTTCATCCTCAAAAGGCCATGTAATGACAAAAGTCTTTAGGTATGTGTCGAAATCTCAACGGAAAGAAGGATAGTCACTATTTGAAGAAGTCACAGCATCCACAAAAGTTAGAGGAGACCTTTTTTATCAGGAAATAAAAGAAGATCTGCAGATACTAAAAGTAGACGCAGCAATACCAATTCCATAGGTGGGATTGTCAAGCCTAATTAAACCTCCACTAAAGGGATTTGTTAGGCCTGCGTAAAATTCTATCAAACATGGCTCCTTACCTAAAAGATGAATGGAAGGGTTTGATCCACAAGCTTTTAGTCAAGTCAGGTTATGACTTTGCTGATCCCTCATCACTAGAAGAGTTAAGTCTTGAACTTATAGGTGAGAAAGTTCATGGTCTCAATGAAACTCAGAAAAAGTTAGGGCAACAAAGGTACAAGGTGAGCCCTTCAAAGACCGGAGTCGGATTCATGCCAACTCAACCCATTTGTATCTCTGCCAAGAGAAAAGACAAGAAGGAAGACGTACAACATATCACTGTGGAAGAAGTGAAGGAAGACAAAAGTCCAAGCCCAACTCCTCGAGTCTCAGCGTTTGATCGCATTGTAGCTCCTGCACCTCGAACCTCAGTTTTTAATAGGTTAAGCACTGTTGATAAGATAGATGAAGGTACAACTTCTCAACCTTCAATTTTCAACAGATTAGGCACTACTAAGGAAAGAGATGAAAAACAAACTTCCTAGTCAGAAAAGTCTATTTTTGCTAGACTTGGCGATATGAATACATCACCTAGAAAAGGCAAGAACAAGAGAAACACAACAATAATTGAGTTGAACTCTATAAAGAAGGATGATGAGACTTGAAGTTTGATTCATTATCGCATGAAACACATGTCATCACTTGAAGTTAGTGT